GTTTTCTTCCAGAGCATGGGAGTCGTTACTTTCCTATATTGCCGATTTCCACAGTGAGATTCGCTTATCGACTGAACCCAAAACCACCACATCAAACATTTATAATTCTGTGAAAAGCGAAGCTGAAATACCAGAGGAGGCGTTCGGTGAAAACTCCGAAGATGGGACATGTGATAATAGATATTATTCTTAACATAAGATATTCTATAACCCAATACAGGTACCGCCTGCAAACCCTGAAACATACTGATAACCAATTATTCTAAAATAATAGATTCACACTATTTATTGGTTCCGAAAGCATATTCTTGTCAGAATTTTATTATTAGTAGTATCTTCAGAGATGGATCCATGATTTTTAAAAAAAGGGGGGGGGTCTAAATTAATGGATATTGGAGAACATGAGAGGGGCCTACCCCAATCTAAGAAACATTTTTTTTTTCTTTCGCCAAGTCCAATTCCTGACACACTTCATTGATGTTTGCCGGCCACTCCCATTGGCAAGCCCCCCCAGAGACATGTCTGCGGACTTATAGTTCTAGAAACCGGGTTTCGATACCCGTGTTGTGCAGTTTTGTGCTTAATAACAAACAAAAACAACCCATTGGCAAATTAACAATAAAACTCTTAATAACCAACCATCAAGAATTTCCTTACCCTCATTTGCAGAGCCGACTTTTAGAATAAATATCTTGAACTGACAACTGGAATCAAATTATTTCAAGTGCTGTTTACTGATGGGCTAGAGAAACCTGTGGTAGATTTTAAATCGATCACAATATTTCAGAGGGATCCTGTACACCTATCTTCAACATTACAGATGATTTAGACCCTAATCCCTTTTCATAGAGGAATACGAGTATAACTGATCCCAGAGAATAATTAAATACATTTCTATCACTTACCATCTCTATTTCATATTTTACTGTTTCCTTCAATTTTGTTTTTTTTAATTGAAAGGGGGTTGGACCTCTTTCGTTCAAATTCTGATCTTATTTACCACACAAAAAAAATTACTCTTTCAAAAATACTTTTGGTTGCAAACAAAAACTTCGTTTTGATAATGTCTTTCAAAATTATATTTCATTTTGATAGTGTTGTGGTTGTTTTTCTTTACTTTCCTCTTGATTTGTGTAACGTATTCTGATTTGTCAAATCCGTTTTCAGTAATGATTAGACATTGGCTTAGAATTTCCAAAAGAAATTACTACAGAAACGACACAATTTAATACCATATCATTAACTCGACCAAAACATTTTATCTTGCAACAATAGCAGCAGAATATTTATTAGCTTACTTGTAACCACAAGAAATAATGTAATAAAGCAAGTCATTTGTAAAAATAGCTGTACGTATCAGGTAGTATTAGTTGGTTGTGTAAAAACATTTTATTGGTTAAAATTTCAATAACTTCGATTTCTTTTTTAAGTTGTTTATATTAAAAAAAAAGATCCGCTGAAATTGCAATTTATCAAAAGCATATAACAATTTATCAAGCACTATAGTGACTTGGTGAAAAATAAATCTCAGACACCTCATTTTCTTTCTTGTTTAATTTTTTAAAAAATGTTTATTTTGAGTAGTTTTCCAGAAGGAAAGTGCCAACACAGTGCACAAGGCATTTAAAGATACTAAAACAATAATAAAACCAAAGAATAAGACTTTTCTTTTGTTGTAAAAATCCATTTACGAGTTTGAATAGGTTATAACAAAAATAACTCCTGTTTTTACAGTATTCGTATAAACTGATTACACTTGATTTGACAAATTTAAATTATATATTAGGTCCCAAAATACTTGAATTTTAAGTGTTTCAACTTTAATGAGAAACTCTACTTTTTTGCTAATCTGTATTACGTATCATTATTAACATGTATTGTTACATATCTCTGACGATGGACTTATAGATTCTGTAGAATGAACACTAACGTTAACAGTTGCTCCTGTTTCTAATTAGAGTAAGTCTGCGATTAAACAATTAATGTAATTCTTTGTCAAGAGATGTCGTTAAAAGTCTAATTTCTTCCAGATATTCAAAACGATGTAGAAGCACAACTTTAGTGCTCGTAGAAAAATACATCCAAAGGCGTTCTTTGAGGTCGTATAATTTCCGCATTTCTATAATACTATACTATTTTAATGCATAATAATATTTTTAACGGTTGTAAAGTTATTTGTGATTTTACAAAAGCCTATATACTCATTCCATCACATCATTTTCGCAAAAATATAAAAATAAAATAGAATACTCGTTTGAGGTTGCGTCAAGCGCGGGTTTTGCCGGGAATACCGCGGAACGTCGACGAGTTTTTTACTTGTCTGGAAAACTTTTTTCGTTACTCTAGTGCTCAACGAATGCGTCGAGACAGAGTCTGTTAGACTATTCGTGCGAATTTCAGCTTTCATCTTCATCAGATTTATGATTTTTTCTTAGTTTTGTTTTCTTTAAAAACAAAGACAGATTGCCAGGGGTAGAAAATTTAAAGGTATTTACTTGTCAAAACTCATAAATTAATCGACAGCGGTTTCCGCGCGATAATTTGAGATGAATTTACTCTGTCTAGCATAAATTTTTAATATTTGGTAAAAAAAGATTTCGCTGTTGTTGGAGCTGTACGCCATCGACAGTTTATGGGGTAAGTTTAAACTAGATAATTTGGCTTATATTCATTATTTTGTTACGTGGTAACAAAAACAAATATACTGGTATATGGAATGATCAGCGAGACTCAGGATATGCAAAATATAAGTACGTATTATTAACATAGATATATATGTATTGGTATTATATTTCCAGTATTAATTGCTCTTGTAAACTGACGAACCATGGGCATCTTATTTTGGATTAGTCTACAAGTCCTCGATAAAAATGGGAAGCGTTTCTTTAAAAAGTAAATTATTAATTAATAAAAAAGTGTGAACTATTTAAACTGCTTGTTTGTTTAAAGTTATGAGCAGTAGAATTATGCATTTAACACTTTTAATTTTTTTTAAAGTATATATTTGTTTTCTATGTTTTTGTTGTCGTCAAGCGCAAAGCTACACAATTGGTCATTTGTGCTCTGTCCGTGGGTATAGAGACCTGGTTTTTAGGTTATAAGCCTGTAGACTTACCACTGACCCACTGGTGGTTCTATGTGTTTATTGAGTAATGTATGATCGGTTGGCAACATTGAAGAACCAAATGGTTCTTCAGCTGGTTAGACGTTGCGTTTCATCATTTAGGTTATAAAAAGCATAAACTAATCTCATAAAGGAGTGTTATAGCAAGATTAGCCAATCTTCCTCCTAGCTACACTGTATTGTAGCAAGTTTGTTTCCTTCCTAGTGTAATAACAAGTATAGTTTATCTTCTGTCTTGTATCGTAGCAAATGTCTATCTTCTCCATGGCTCTACTAGTATTGCACTTTGTCACTAGACATAGTGAGCAGCATATCTATACTTTGAAATTGTCACTGTGATCTCTTGTTGAAAATACTATTACTGTCTTTTGCGTTTGTGAAGCAAAGTAAATTACTGTTTGGTCTGTAAAACTAAAAGTGTGGACAGTATTGTATTTTTACTGTTTATTATTTGAGTTTGCCAAGTTAATGAAAATGGTGTTTAGCTGGTATTTAGAGCTAATAGGAAGCATTTGACTTTTGCTGTCATTGAACTTTGAAAGTCCTCTGGGTTGGGCAAATATGGGTACTTCATTGGTCTCAGAACAGTGATCTATCCTTGGAATTATTAATCCTTTGATTTCCACAAGTATGGTTAATTAAGTAAACAAACCATATGGACAAGGAATCAACTGGTCCTTCAAGTGAGACTTTAAACCCACCCTTTATTATTCAGGAACTTATCAGTTCACTTCTTAAACTCCTATGAAGTGCTGACCCTTCTACTGGTGATGGCAAGTAATAAGTCAATTGCCATGTTAGAAAAATTAACAACTTCAGCCTAGTGTGTCTTTTCTACAACTTATGTTTGTGTCTTTTTATCTTATTATTATTTTCAGAATATAGCAATGTAAGTATGAAAAATCAAAGGCTCAAGCACTGATCCCAAAGGAACTCCACTAGTAATAAGATTCCAGTTTGACTGTATTCCATTAATAATATTTTTCTCTCTCTCTCTCCCATCCAACCACCCCTTTAGTTCTGTTATAGTCTTTCTTCAACCCAAACTGATATGGTTTTTCTTAGCTAATCTTTTGTTTGGCATTTTATAAATGTCTTTTAAATCTACATTTACTTAGTCCATGTCTTTTCTATTATCCAGATAACATGTAAAATCCTTTTAAAAATATTAGTTACTCTTTTTTGTAATGCAAGTTTTTGTTATAAAAAACTTTGGTGAATTTCAGAAAAGACAACTAAATGTACTTGTTGTAATCAACTTTTTTAAATTTTAATAATATACTTTATTAAGTATTATTTCACATCTTCCAATATAACATTTCTTTCATTATGTTGAATTTTTAGATAAGTTAAGCACATCTTCATTGTCAAGGGTCATTGCCAATCTCTGGAATGGCTTTATTTCTATGTCCTTTTTCTTCTGTACATATATTGTACTTAAATAACTGTTATTATGGGCAACCTCTAACTTCATCTTGGAGTACTATTAAATAATAAATAACTAAAAAAAATCTTAACTATGATTGTTGTCATAGCAAAAGATTTCCTTACAAGTCTTGCAGTGGTTGAGTTTCTAGACCATTTGACACTCTACAACTATATATCATATGTTTTACATAATAATAAAAGCCCAGGTGACATTCCTAAACAAGATCTTAGGATTTATTAAAAGACAACATTTGTTGACAGCTGTTATTTACTGTAAGTTGAGTTATTAAAATGTTGCAACAGTTAGTAGAGTTTCTGTAGTTGTCTGTTTGGGATGTTCTAAGTTTTGGGAAAAGTTGCAACAATGGTCAGTTTCCATAGTTGTCTGTTTGGGATGTTCTAAGTTATGGGAAAAGTTGTAAGAATAGTCAGTTTCCACAGCTGTCAGCTTTGGATATTCTAAGTTATGGGAAAAGTTGTAAGAATAGTCAGATTTTCCACAGCTGTCAGCTTTGGATATTCTAAGTTGTAGAAAGGTTACAACAATAGTAATAAAGTTCGTTAGTTGTCTATTAGGGATGTTCTGGGTTTTGAAGTGGTTGCAACAGTAGTTGGAGATTTTCCATTAGTTGTTTGTTTGGGATCTACTGAGTTAAGAAAAAGTTGCAACAGTAGTCAGAGTTTTCATAGTTGTCTGTTGGGATATTCTGAGTTATTACAAAATTGCAGCAGTAGTCAGAATTCATGTATTTATAGATCATTGTAACGACCAAGAAGGTCATTAGATTAAATATTAATTTTGAGTTTTTAAAAGGCTTGAACAGTTGACATTATCAGAATGTTCAAATTAGTAATTTGTTGGAAAACTCAACAAGAATAATGAGGATCACCTGTTTGCGATTTCAGAATTCCACACTACCACAGTGTATGTAAGTATGCAAGAAAAATAACCACTCTTGTAGAATGTCATTAGAAAATTATTGTGGACAGAGTGTTTAAAGCTCCATGCTGAGGCCTTTGCTTTAAGTCTAAAATGTCATTCATGTCAAGAGTTCCTAGGTATCTGCTTTTGGTATAAAATAACCGAGAATCTACTTAATTGCTACAAAATACATAAGAGCATTTTCCACTTTTTCTTTTACAGATAATAGTTACATTTTAAAGATCTACCTGATTTAATAATGGACCTAAGCTCGACAGTATCTGGTGCATCAATCCATATGTTTTAGTAAAACTGTTTTATAAAACATTCTTTTAATAGGTATTTTATGCAATATTTATAATTTTGCCTGCTTTTATTATAGTTTCTTTCTAGAATATTATAAAGTTGTTTTATGTTAAGTGCTTAACACTATATCAAAAGTTTAATTTTTAAACCCATTTTTGGTCAATCACACAATTATGTTAATACAATAACGTGACAAAATGAAGTGCAGTTTTTAAGTCTTATTTTCATCACTTACATAATACATGTGAATAGACTGATCATAAACTTACAAAAAAATGCAATCAAAAAATAAATTTTATGCAATTTCTCTTAGTGTATCAAGATGATAATTATTTTTCGAGAATCTGACAAAGAAGAACAAGTTAGACTACTGGAAGATCACAGATCTGGACATCTCAGTGAAGAAGCATAATCACATCACTTGTTCAACATACATGTAAGTAATACATTTGTGGACCATTTGCTTCCATCCCTTACTGCTACAGGTTTCTACCAGCACTGCTTAACAATGAGTGCTTATCCACTGGAAAGCACCATGCAGAATGGTGCATATCCATGGGTCGCACCAAGTTCCCTTGGTCAGAAGAGTTGGCCTCCTGGGTACCAGGCCAGTCTAACTGATCTCTTCTTGAAGAAGAATACTCTCCATTTTGGAACAGGAATTTCTCAGCTGGCAGCTGCATCTAGTTACATTGAAAAGATGTCTTCTTTTAGTGACCATGTACAAAAGTGCCCCCATCCTGATGCCAAGGATAAGCCTTATCCCTGTGAGGTCTGTCAACAGTACTTCTCCATTTACAATGGCTTGAAGTCAGATGGTGCATCCAGCAGTAGCACTAACTGTGGTGTAGGAGAAATCTCCAATGTCAACCGACCGATGAGTGCCCCTCCTGAAAGAAAGCAGATTCCACCAACTCAACCACCTTCTCCTGGTTTAGTAAATCAGAATCATCTGCCTCAATCTGACCAGACTCTCCAACAACCACCTCCCTTGTCTAATAAGTACCAACTCCCAGAGATGAGCCACTATCCTCATAGGCCACGACCACCTCCTACCAAGCAGTTTATGTGCCACGTTTGCCACAAATATTTCACTCAAAAGGGTAATCTAAAAGCACACATGATGATCCATACTGGGGAAAAGCCATATGCTTGTAAAGTGTGTGGAAAAAGTTTCACCCAGAAGGGTAATGTGGACACCCACATGAAGATCCACACTGGAGAAAGGGAGTTTGGCTGTGATATGTGTGGCAAAAGATTCACACAAAAGGGTAACCTAAAGACCCATATTCGAAGTGTTCACATAAAAGAAAAACCTTTTGTATGTGGAGTTTGTGGGAAATGTTTTTCACAGAAAGGTAACATGCAGACCCACATGAGGACACACAACAAAGAAGACCGCTTTCCCTGCACCCTTTGTGGAAAGACCTTCTCACAGAAGGGAAATCTTAAAACTCACATGCAAAGACACACTGGTCGAGTGCCGTCTCGTCAATGTGTGTCACGTGGTTGTCCCACTGGCCCACACCATACTCCTGATTCAGAAACAGCTCATTTTGCTCCTTATCGTCTCCTCAAATCTACAAATGTTATGAAAATACCTTCTTCATCCCCACCTTCATCATCTCCAACTAATCAACCTTTAGAAGCTCATGGACAAATTTTTAGAAATATCCATAGGCTTCCTCCTCAAGTTATCAAACCTATTCCTGAAACACACCCAAACATGAGAACATCCCCTTTACAGATATCTTCAAGTTATCAGGACTCCCGGATGTCTTCAAGTACACCTACTTCCATTGGAGCTCACTCTCACATGGGCCATAAGTTTTCTTATGTCTCCCATCACCCAGGTGTATCAAGTCCTTCACCTCCAGGTATCATGAACCAACCCCCGGCTCACCTTCAAAAACTATCAGTACATTCCTTTCCACCTCTTCAAGGTGAGATGATCCCTTCTGTCATGCACAGTTCTGCACCACATCCTTATATGTCCCGGATTAATAGTCCCTCAGCATGTGTCACCACTGGACAAGTATTTGTTTCTGAAAATGAAGAAAGACCTTTTTACTCTACTCCTCCCATGCCAGTGCCAGCACCAATTGCTCACTCTTCTCCTTGGCTATCCCATGGATACCAAAGGCATTACAACAGTTTCCAACCCCCATCTACCATGGGTTCCTATGGCTCCATTAACCATCATCCTACTCCACTCTCTCGATTGGCTCTTTTAAGTTCCAGTGCGATAACTCATCATCATCCATTTGGAAATTCATCTATAGAAGACAAACATTTTGGAACAAATCCTGCTCATGATGAACACTTGGAATCTCACTACCACCAATCAGGAAGTCCAGATTTTTCCCAGCTTCTGGACTAGAACCCAACCTGTTACTTGGGAAACTAACCAGAAAGTACTGTTTAAAATGCAGAAATAACTAATCTGATTTTGATTAAACTAATTCATACTTTACATTTTTCTCTTTTGCATTCACATAGATCTATAAGTGATTTTTTTCCCAGATGAATGGAAAAATAAGAATTTAAATCCATATTTTGAAGGGACAGAATTGAACTGTTTGTAGTGGAACATACTGAAAGTTTCTGAAACTAGTCTATTGACATAGTTTCTAGATTCAAATATCATATAAGTAGTTACAAACAAAATATAGATGTATATATATATTAAACTAAAAATACCTGCTCACTCTGTATTTCAAGATCAATTTTAAAGTTGTCTTTACCTATATAAGCACTTTCATTGTGACAAATCTTTTGTTATTTTTACTAGTGTTTTAGTTTGGTTCAAAGCATGTTTGCTAAAGTTGCAATTGTTGTTGTTGCCACTTAATACTTTAAAAGCTTAATGAAAAGTGTGAAGTTTAGATCTTGATATAGTTGAAGGTTCCTAAGAAAGGACTGTGATAAATTTTTGACTGTACCAAACTAAAAGATGGAATTATCATGTACCACATTTCATTTTGGAATGTGTAAGTTACAGCACAGTTTAATGTAATTGTATAACATATCGGATTAGAACAGCATTGCTACTGATAAACAAAATTTGTTTTCATGCAGTGTTGGTTAGTATGTTTCACATCTGTATAACAGATTTATAATACACAGTGCTGTTATGTAACAGGAGTATGTACACAGCTGATGTGTCACGTCAAGATGTATTACTGGCTGATGCGTAATACTTGCACATGTACAGGACTAGTGTGTCCCATCAAGATGTGTTACTGGCTGATGTGTAATACTCGCATATGTACAGAGCTAGTGTGTCACGTCATGATATGTTACTGGCTGATGCGTAATACTTGCGCATGTACAGGGCTAGTGTGTTACATCAAGATGTGTTACTGATGTGTAATACTCATACCAGTACAGGATTGGTGTCACATTACATGTGTAAATAATGTATAATACTCATACATGTACAGGACTGATATGTCACATCAAAATGTGTTACTGATATGTAACACTCGTACATGCACAGTGCTAATGTGTCAGAACAAGATTTATTACTGATAGCATACATGAACAGGACCAGTATATCAAATCATAGCATTATTGTTACTAACATGTAATATTTTTATACAAGAATAAAGCTAGTGAGGGTGTTACATCAGGTGATTGTGTTCATGTTTCACTCCATACATGGTGTTTAGAGTTATGTATAACTTGAACACTAGTGCTGATGAAATGCATTACTTCTACATATACTGTTAAGGATATCTACACAACCATTCAGTATGTCACAGTAAAACCTACTCTATTAATATTCTGGCAGTTTGACACATCAACAGGTGTCGTGTCTATTGGTACTGATATATTACACCAGTTATATAACTGATGCTGCTTATGTGTTATGATAATACACATAATATCACTTAAAGGTCACACCAGTGTGCACATGTACTGACATTAACAGATCACACTAGCATTTATGTATGCTGATACTAACAGATCAAACCACTGGTATCGTGACATATACTGACAGAAATGTATATACATGAAACATGTGCTAATAGGTCACTATGGAATATACTTGTGCTAATTGGTGAAATCAGCAACTGCGTATACTAACAATGTGTCATATTACAATATACATAAAGATGCTTGTGTTATACCAGCATATACATAATTACATTATTATATCATACACACACATACATACTGATACTAACAGGTGAAACATATATTTTAAAGGGCCTTATAAAGAATGAGTAACAAATAACCAACAGATGATTTAAAGGAACTAGTAAACATACTGTCCTAGTCATCTCAGTAGATATCACACGTGCCAGATCATTTGATTTGTTTTTTCTCCATCTGCCATGAGTGGCAATTAGTAACACCCTTTTCTTTCCAAGATCAAACATAGCCTTTTGTTTTCTATCTACATCTTGAACACTCCAACACCAAAACTACTATGAAAAAGAACTTTTTCCTTTGCTTGACAATGAATAATATGTTATCAGATGTGTCTGTACAAAACCACAAGTGAAAAGTGCGGGCATACATATATGATGTTGTGAGAAATGCTTGTTTTCTATAGCTGTCCATTTTGACCACTTTGTGCATATACATCTGTCTCATGCTACCACACCTAACATTAACACTAATGTACCATACCAACATACACAGCATACATACACTGATACTATGTCACACCAGGATAAAGAATACATGTCAGATGTTATGTTCGCCAGTTGTCAGTTAAGGGCTTTTACTTATGCTTCTTAATAGTACAAATATGTTGTTGTTATTGGGCTAAGGATTCTTCTACAGTGGGCATCTGTGACTTGTTGGTGATAAATGAACAGCACGTACTCCATTTGTTTTCAAAAATATATATATATACATATATATATATATATTCGAACTAGTTAAACATATGTACAGAAATCTATTACACTATAGAGATCATAGGTATATCAAACATTATATAGCTCTCTTCTTCTTGTCAAAAGTCCACCTAGGCCTATTCAATCACTTTAGAATGTCAGTTGACAAGCTGAACTACTTTTCTTTATCTCTAATGCACTAGTATTTCATGTATAATTCTCTTACAATTGTAAAGTGAGTTACCACAGTAGTATACTGTTCTTTGTACTTCAAATATCGTCTATTCCTTTTTGAATCGTCTGCCTTTTGTCAAAATTCACTCAGGCTTGTTCAGTTACTTTAGAACACCCCTTGACAAGATAAACTATCCTTCTTATCTCTTTTAATAACTGTTAGGCTTCCTCTAATATATTTAACCATTATGCCTATATTAAAAGTTTGGCCTTTCACTTCTGTAGCAGTTAACTTTTCGTTTAACTTTTCTTTGGCTGAACTCCTTCCCTGTGACTTTGCTCTCTCTCTTCTACCATCATCTGTCTGTCTATTTTTCTCGCTCATCTCACACTATGTATATATATATATATATTTATTACTTAATCGTCTGCTCGCTATATCCTTGGCATCAACAAATTTCAAGTGATGTTTTATAATCTTGGCATTAATTAGTTATAAACCCATTTACGTAACTAAACTAGTCATAACATTTTGTTCAAAATAACTGCTTCTATCTTGTTAGGAACAAAACTAAACAATCATAAAATGTTCACTCACAAAATAAATTAATTAATAATATCTTTTATATCATGACAGTATACATATACTGGCATTGCTCCACACCAATATATACAGCATACATACATTGACACTAGTTTGTCACACTAGCACATACATAACACAAACAATACCATTTTCTAGATTAATGTTCCACTCTCATGTTTAATCAACATCAGAGTGCAACATTATCTGAAACAGACAGTACAATTTAAGAATCAAATTCATACCCACGTTGAAAGGTCATAACTATTATGGTAAAATACATTAATAGAGGACTATGATAGTGGAAGGTATTAATGTGCTACTACACCAGCCTGCTTCTTCTTATAAGAAAACCCCAAACCACGTTTAATATCTCATAACAAGCATCTTTGGAAAAGAGATGTATTATCAACAACAAATGCATTGTGATGATAATTAATACTTCTGAATTAAACTGAAAAGAACTGTATATTATATTATATAATTTGTGTTAGATCAATTGACTGCATTGATTTTAGTAACGATACAACTATAGCACATATATCTTGTGCTTTAGTAGAAAGTTTTAAAGTAACTGCAGGGGTGTTGCAATCTTTTTGATGTACTGACCCCCAGATAAGTAGGCATGAGCAAATTTATAAATAAAATTGAAATGCTACTAGTCCAACTATTGCACTTTCCAGTATAATAACTATATTACTACACCTTGCAAATCCATACCTATCTATATTCATTGAAATGATTTCTTCAACAGGATTACAAACTAAAATAATACAATTTATTGCAGTGTATGTGACACAGAAATGACATTTATGGGCAGGTTAACAATTCTAAATATATGATACTGTTATTCCCGACCTACTGAAAATATGATATAATTCAGAATATGTCGAACATAAAATCTCTGAGCAGGTGATCCATTCTACATATGTGACAAAATCAAAACAACCACATGGTTTTTCCAGCATTTGGAACTTCTCATCCATTTCAGTCATACCTATGTAAAACACTTCAGTATTCTGAGAAGATGGTCCAAGTAATTTCATGCAAACACGGCTGTTTCATCCTTGTATCAATTGTACAAAAAAGTTCATGACAGTAGAAATTTAACAAATTTAAAGGCATTATAAGAACAGGTATCATTTTTTAAATATTAATAATTAGATATAGATTTGGAATTCACATACAAGTACAAATTTCAAACAAGCAGGCTAGTACGTATGGAATTCAAAGCAGCTTGAACTCAAAATTTGGTTGTCATAGGCATCTAGCTAGTGTATTTTTACACCCATAAATAAATATTTTCCTTCAAGCTGTTTGAATATGTCAGCTTGTTGTGACTAAACTCTTAGAATTGCTGCACATAAATCTCCCAGAAAAAGTTAGAGGTGTGAAAAAATTATCTTTCATTTGTGAATACAGTTGAACAAAGTTTGTTACTATTAATGTCTCTGGTTGTTAGCATGTGTTGATTGAATTTGCTGTTTCTACGTGAAAAAGTCTCATCTCTTTACAGTTGTGTTTTGAAACTTCACTTCTGTCATTTATGGCAACCTGATGTAAGGGGGAAAATATTTTAGAATTATAGCCCAAAGTGTGTGTTTTTAAGATTCTTTGAAATTGATGCAAAATAAAGAAAGTTAATAATGTATGTATGTATACATATATGCCTTGTGTAAAGGTATGTGTTTGTGCATGTATGTGTGTGTTTGTAAATTAACACAGAAAAAGGCTCAAGTGTACGTAAATTTTTTTACCATTTTAGGATTCTTTGAAATTATTAAGATTATACAAAAGACAATCCACTTAATATTATCGATACTTTTCTTTGCAATATTTTCATAATTTAGGTTGTAGTCAAATTGTTAATTTGTTCTGTATGTAAATATGAATCCATAACATACGTATATAAATATAAAAGCAGTTGATTTTATCTCCTCTGTCACATGTTTATATTGTTATTCTGTTAAACTATTATATATTCTAATTCTTATTCATAATTGTACATTTCTTGCATCTGCTCTTTTAAATGTGAGTAATAGTTACCACACATTAGTAGTTTCACTACATAACATTTATCACACACTGTTAGTATTGTTAGCACTTGTTATACGTTAGTAGTATTACTACATAACTAATCACACACACACTGGTAGTGTTATTACATAACATTTATCACACACTGTTAGTACTTGTCATACATTGGTAGTATTACTACAAAACTAATCACACATTGGTAGTGTTACTACATAACATTTATCATACATGCACACTGTTAGTACTTGTAATACATTAGTAGTATTACTACATAAGTAATCGCACATTAGTAGTGTTACTAGATAACATCTATCACACACACACACACACACTGTTAGTGTTAGTACTTGCTACACATTGGTAGTGTTACTACACAACAATTGTCATGCATGTAAGTAACACCAACCATATAGAACCATACACTGGTAATACTGTTACATAACTTTTAAAACACCATTAATATTGTTATATAACTCACACAGCGTTATTAGTGGTATCATTATTACATAATAATACTTATTACACTTTAGTAGCAGTTTTACCTAACAGCAGATATCACATGCTGCTGTTGTTGCATAAAACTTGTCACATAGTAATAGTGTTGCTACCTAACAGCAGATACCATATACTGTATTATCTCCACATAACAACACACTAATATTGTTGTTCATAGTAATATGACCATATGCTGGTAGTATGGTTTCCTAATAATACTAATCAAGCAATGTTATTACTGGATAATAGTTAATTCACAGTATTGTTTCTTCCATAGTGTTGTTAGGCAGAATTGTTTCTTGAGCAGAGTTATCACATCTCTTTTCATACCTATAACATCAGCTCTTACGTTTGTATGATAATCCAATATATAAATATTAATCAAGTCACGGTTTTAGCCTTGGTAGTTGAAGGATATCATTGTCTTCTCCTTAAGTCAGAGATTATCATTTTAGAAGATCGGGTCTGATTTAGTTGGGTTTTATACTTGAGATGAGTCATCAAAGATACTTATTTTTGTGAGCAGCACGTTTTGGTCATTCCATTAAAAGCTACTACTAACTTTGATGGCTAAAATAGATTTAGTAAGTAATGACTACTTACTCAATGCTATGTGGAAGAAAAAAAAAACCTATTGTTTTAGCATTTGGAACAGGAAGTTTAACTAGAATAAATATTTTTTCCTTTATCTATTATTACTATAGTACTGAGTCTGAAACTTGCACAATAATTATCTCAATTTATAAAATGAGTAGACTAGTCTCAATGTGAACTTTGTAACTATTGTTGAGAAACTAAAGTAAGCTGGTTGTCTAAGTTCTTATGCTTGTTGACCTGTTGGTTAAATTACCTTTTTACTTTTCTATATAAAAGTGAGTAAATAGTGTTAGTATTCTTAATGTAGTGCTTATTAAGTTTCAAATAAATATTTAGTTGTTGCTACAGACTTCATAAAATTTTTTATTAAGAAATTGTATAGCTTGCACAGATAAATTACTTAGGATTGGAAATAGGTTCTGAGAAAGTAGGTTTGAGAACTTTAATGGACAGCAGCTGCTTGTTGAAAGAAAAGGAGATGAAACTTTGGCTTCTGTACTGAGGCCTTCTTTGGACTTGAATAAGGCTTCAGTATAGAAGCTGAAATGTCTCCTCTTCTTTCAACAAGCAGTTGCCATCCATTAAAGTTTTATGTATACTCTGTCTAAAGTTGTACAAACTTGTGTTTACAAAAAGTGGGCTGTTCATCTTTTTCAGCACTTTCATAACTTATAAGAAAACTTTGTTTATTTCTTACAATAGGTAATAAAACGCATGCTTGAATATTAAATAAAATAAACAGAAGAGTTAAAAGTGTGTAATCAATTTTACTTTTTATAATTTTAAATTTCCTCAGAAAAAAATAGAATGAGTGAAATGGCAAAGTGAAAAATTACAGTTTCTTATTTTTGTAAGAATCAGTTTGCATATGTTAAGAGAACTTTGAAAATTTTAAACAAGAAATATGTTTTAGGAGATGAAGTTGTAATTACAGGTTTTGGGTATAATGATGATTTGACCCTCTTGGTGATATTAGTGTGACCCTACTGATTATATTCGTTTGACCTGTCATCTCAATATTTTCTGACAATCAACCTAGTTCTTAATCAGAAGATTCTTCATACAACTTGTTGGCACTTATTTGTAAGAGACATCTTCGAAAAAAGATGCATACACGTAACACTGTGAATTACATTTCCTTTATAACTTGGCACATATTTTTTGCTCCTTCTCTGAAAAAGTTGTTTTTGATCAAGTTTATAACTTTGTTTTGGATCAGTAACCACTGTACATTAATAGTTGCCTGGATAGTGCATTAAAATATCTGAGCCATAATGTTTCTCTTAATAATATTAACAGTTATGGTCCTTCCATTGCAATGTATCAGTGTTGTAGGTATATAACAGGGATGGAAGTGTTAGTATAATTTCAAGTATAAGGTCTCAAATTAATCTGGACATACAATTGTTGGGGGTGGGACTGTAGATGTTAACTCATTAAATTATTTAAAACTCCATCAAAAGCAGCATTTAGTTGAATCTTAGTTACTGGTTTTTCTTTTAATGTAAATAAATATTAAATACCTGAACAATATTCAAGGTTTTCAGACCTAATTGGATGATAAGACTTACTGAAAAGTTGTTCAAAAGTAAGCTTACTGAAAGGTGTATGCTTACATTGATTATTTTTCTCCAAAGGCCAGCATTTTGACCACTGTCATGCAGCTTGGTTAGTCAGTTAAGATAATTAAATTTTGACATTTTTTTTATGATTATAGGATTCTTAAGGTATGTAATGTTTTAACAGCAACCTTTTTAAATAAAATTATTTCATGGGCTGAATTAAGTATTGAAATCACAATAATTTATCTTCCCACCACCCCCCGCTCATTTTTAGTTGTGAGTGGAAATAATGGCTGTGTAAGGTGTACTTCCTACCTATCAAAGAGACAAATCAGATTATGATAATTTGGTGATTTATATAGACAGAAACTTTGAATATTTTATTCTAAACAGACTTTGTCTTTATTCTCCTCTGCCAGAACAGTTGAGCTGTAATTTTAAGGATACTTAGTCTCAGAGTAATTTTTTTTGTGTGTTTAGTGATCCTTGTTTGCCAGAGCTTGGTGCAGTGACAGGAAAGTCGCATTGTTTTTATTTGATTTCAGTATATTTAAAGCTTGTTTCATTGAATCACAGATACTTTCTCTCTCCAGAAGGTTGTAGAGAAAAAATTTATATATGTTCTATGTTGTTAGAACTGCTGCAAAAAAGGAGAAGTAGACTTAAACAAGACTGAAGAATTACTAGATGGAGGGAGAGAGGGAAGTGACTTGCATGCCTGATATTCACAAATTTTCTGTGTAAACAGAAATGAGCAATTTCTATTGGTACTAATAAAACATAGATACAGTTAAAATATTTTAGCTGAATAATCTAAACTACAGTTAAAAATACAAATATTCAAAACCTTTTAGCTTGTTACTTTGAGGATAAAGTGAACATCATGAAATTGATCCCTATATATATGCTGCATTTCAGTAACCTTTAGTTTGTTACACTGCATATCATGAAACTGATCCCTGTAGGTGTTTTGTGATTCAGTTGATATTCAACAACCTTTAATTTGTTACACTGAAGATTAAGTAAACAGCAGGAAATATCCCTTTAGTTGTTGAGCTTAGTTTTTTGTCTAAACATCTTTTAAGTGATGATTTACACCAGAAAAGGAATTGTAGCTATACTAATATTTTCTAATTTCAAGAAGTCAGCTGTAGTCAATATATATTTTAAGCACTAGATTGATAAGGTTATGCTCTACATATACACCTTACAGTATTCAGTTTTAACTTGCATACTAAAACCACTACTTCATTGTTATTATTGCAATAGTGTTACTTACTGTACTTTCTGAGTTTGTGTATTTCTTCCTATTTTTTAGTTATATTAATTAGTCTGGATGTCATTAACCTTGCTAGAATATGTGGAAGTGATCCTTTTCTCAAAACTTAGGAGGACTTAAAAATACCAGGATGATGCACAATTTTTACATCGCACCGTAAACACACATATGCATATCTGATGCAGAGCTTTAATAGCTGTAAATACTGAAGGGTTTCTACACACTTTATCACACTCAGATCTGTAGTTGTTAGGAAGTATGATGTTTAACTTGTTATCTGTGTTATACACGTGGAACAGTGTTGAACAATTAAAAGGTCATGTGATGGTACTCTTGCTTTATAAACATAAAACCTCACAATGCATGAATTGTCATTACACTTTGTGTTTTTTTACATTACTACTAACTGTGAATCAAAAATCCAATTTCTTAGATAAACAAAAGTAACATATAATGTTATTAGTAACTGATGTGTGATACTGAGTGAAATGCCCTCATGAGTTGTTGGTTTGGCTTAGTGTATAATGTTATTAGTAACTGATGTTGATACTGAGTGAAATGCCCTTATGAATTGTTGACTTGGCTTAGTGTATAACGTTATTAGTAACTGATGTTGATAATGATGTGTGATACTGAGTGAAATGCCCTCATGATTTGTTGACTTGGCTTAATGTATAATGTTATTAGTAACTGATGTTGATACTGAGTGAAATGCCCTCATGATTTGTTGACTTGGCTTAGTGTATAATGTTTAGTAACTGATGTTGATATTGATGTGTGATATTGAGTGAAATGCCCTCATGATTTGTTGACTTGGCTTAGTGTATAATATTATTAGTAACTGTTGTTGATAGTGGCATGTGCTGCACTGAGTGAAATGCTATCATGAGTTGACTTGGCTTAGTGTATAATGTTATTAGTTACTGTTGTTGATAGTGGCGTGTGGTAAACTGAGTGAAATGCCCTCATGAGTTGTTTTATATGCTAAGAAGGAAGAAAGAAAGATAACCCAAAAAGACTTAACAGATGGAAAAGAAAGTAAAAACAGTTTTAGGGTTATGATTGGTTGTTCTTCAGTGATAAAACCCAAAAGGCCTACCAAATGAAATATGCCATTTAAATTATTTTTCCTAATTGATTGGTGTAAACTTTTAGAACCCAGTTTTCCTAACAAGTTCCAAAAATGACATCTTAGTTTTATAATTATCTGCTTTATGTTGAAACACTTGCAAAAATACTAAGCCTTTATCTTTTCTTTCTCTAAAACAAACTTTCCACATCTACCAAATATTTCAAGGTTTTAGTGTAACAGACAATTGTTATAAAAGGCCATTAATATATGAAAGTTCTCTCACCTTTCTCACCAAACTGATAAATATTTGACAAAGTATTTTTTCCATTTTTATAGAACAGCAGTTTAGTGCTAGCTATTATAATCATTGTTGAAGTTTTTAGATCTGTCACAAGTTATGGTTTTCATAATTAACTTTTTTTCTTCTTACTTTTGTACATACTATTGTAAATTATTGTAATCAATGCCCTTATTAAATACTTATGTTCAAGAAGGAAGTTATAACTTAATCATCACTTAGGCTTACCAGTTCTGTATGTTCGTAAGAGATACACAAGTAGCAGTCACATGATGATGTTGTGGTCATACTGGTCACTTCCAGGTGAGCTTCTGTCAGTATAGATAAGCCCAAAATACAGCATGTCACTGTAATAGAAAATTATGAAAATAGCATTACAAAAGCAAAGAAGTAAGTAAAACATGTTAGTGAGAAGTTTTTGTGTGAATATTTTTGTTTTTAGTTCTGTGCCTGAAATTAGTTGATATTTGATAATTCACATAAAACATATTAATAGAACATTACATGGTATACTAATAATCTCTTGTATGTTTATTAATGTTATTACATTGCTACAATATGTAGCAACAAATGTGTTCCTGTTAGGAACCCAGTGTGTTTTATTGTTTTAAACATATTTTTTATATTACACTCCTATGCTAGATGGTTCCTAAAACAAATCAACAGTTAACTGTTGTCTTTTGATTGTTTTATTATTGATGAATCCTACTGTTACCTGCTGATTTCTACTGGCATTTTAAACAAATTACAACAGCAGTGCTAACTGTTAATTCGTTATTATTAAATGTTAAGAAATTTACAGATATTAGGTATCTAATTTACAATACAAAACCGTTATTAAAAATATCTGGATTTTGTATTCTTATTTTCATGTGGCATAAACTGATGTACTTGATATTGCTTGTGAGTAATTTTCATTGGGTTGGTAACAAGATATGGAAGCCAATTTCTCTTTAGCAACATAAAGTAATTGACTGATATAATAACACTGAAATAAACATACATGGATAATTCTGCTTCTGTATATGTTACATAAGTATTCATACTTACCTACATAGAAGCTCACACAGATGTTAGGTTGTTTACTTGATAAGCCTTTAGACCTATACAGAGGGAGATTGTTTTTCTGTCTCTGAGAAATTATTGACCTTTTGATTTAGAAAAAACAAACTTGTATTTATTGTTTTTCAATAGTGAGTTCCTAATGAAATAAAAAAAAATCAGCTTAGACACATTTTTTTTATTGTGGTGAAGTACTAAGTTTGGGTGCTGAATCCTAGATATCAGGCATTCAAAAGGAAGGGTGCTAAATCTTAAACATTAGGTGTACAAAAGGAAGGGTGCTGAACCCTGGACATCAAGTGTTGAAAAGGAAGAATGCTGAATCCTGAACATTACGTGTTGAAAGGGAAGAATGCTGAATCCTGAACATTACGTGCTGAAAGGGAAGAATGACGAATCCTGAACATTACGTGTTGAAAGGGAAGAATGCTGAATCCTGAAAATTACGTGTTGAAAAGGAAGGGTGCTAAATCTTAGACATTAGATGTACAAAAGGAAGGATGCTGATCCTTGAACATCAGGTGTTGAAAAGCAAGGATGCTGAATTTTACATATCAGGTGTTGAAAAGGTAAAGTGCTGAATCCTGGACATCAGATATACAAAAGTCAGTTACAATAAAGAGCACACCACACAAAATTTAGCAACATTGCAGGATTTGAGGTTAATGCTAGCAAATTGCTGGTTAGTGTTGCAGTTTTCCTTGTAAAATTTAAAAGGCACTAAAGAAAAAAAATTGTTAGTACACATTTCAGAAGGAAGATTTGCAGATTCTTACTACAGACTATTTACACTCCAAAGATACATGCACTTCAGTCATTTATATTGAAAGATTCTGAATAGAGGATGTTACTATAATTATGCTTAAAAAGACTTTCACTTGCCAGTTTTGTAATTCCAATTTGAGTGCATGCCATCCCAGGTTTTAAATATTGCAGGAAATGAGTACAGCAAGACTGCAGCTTAAGACTGGATTAATTGGTTGCCAAGGCAATTAGCACATGTGCAAGCCTGCTAGACTCACACCATCTTGCTTCTGCAATGCAAGGTTTGCTGGCAGTATGGTTAGAAATACTATGCTCATGTGGCAATCATAAAATAGATATCATATAAACAGCAGCTCATTTTTTTCTCACATTCCTATTAATTTATTCATGGTTAACACAACTGTCGATCCTTTGGCTTCTAATGCTTTATCAACCAATTTCATAGATTAAATGCTAACCTGCACAATAATGTACAGCATAGTGAAAACCACAAAACATAAACCTTAGTTATAATTTTTCTTCTTGTGTATCATTATTTAAGGGAGATGCCATCTTGCAAGATATTCTAAAATCAATCAAAAGATGGTGCTAGTGTGATAAGGAAAGATTCTAAATTATGGTATAGTTTTATGCTTTATTTTTTAATATCATAAAATATCTAATATTTTGAAAGTTATTTTGAAAATGTCTAGTGACTGTTAATCTTCTATGTATATAATTATAAAAATGAAAGTAGTTGTAGGATGTTATCTTTTCTCAGTACTAAGTGATCTATATTAAAAGTTGCCATCAGGTGACACAAATTGTGATAAGAGGCCAAATTTTGTAAGAAAGTTCAATAAAGAGAGAGTCGTGTTGTTAGTAAAGTAAACTAGCTCTTGTTAGGAGTTTTTTTTTAAAGACAAATCTTTGACTTTCATTTTGTTTTGTAACAGCATTGATTCATCAGTTAGCTAACATTGTTTGCATTTTGATAGAAACTAAATTAAAGCTATAATGAAAGTTAATTAATAGGAATTAGTCCCTGTGCTTTTAAAGTTACTTGTATACAATGTATAGCTTAATAGTAATTGCCTAAGCTGAGTAAATACAGTCCTTCAGTTACTCTGAAAGCTTCATTGTTTAGTTCAGCTAACAGTCTTCTAACGCAGATCACAATTCTTTTGTATTCCCATTTTATTATTATTTTTGGGGACTTTAAGTTTATGAAAGAGGCAGAATCAGGATGTCAAATCTCAAAAGTGTACTAATTTTAAAATTATCACTTGTATTGTGGTATGACATACAGAAGCACTGAAACTGAAAAGTAACATACAGCCAGGCCAGTTCATTGGTTTAAATGTTACTCAGAAGGAATCAGTTTTAAATTCAATTTTTATTGGAAACCTGTTCTTTTGATTTAAAAAATTTTTGGCATAGAGTTAAAGCCATCGATTTCTTTCTAACACAAGTAACAGCAGCATCTTAGTTTTAAGTAACTTTCATAATTGTACAAAGCATTGAATTGAAGATTTCTTGTCCGTTTAAATTTGTTATACAGGATTTAGAATTTACACATTCTTAGCATCAAAGGCTGCTTATTAATGTAAACAGAAAAATGTTACATTAGATTAAGAGTGGCTGTCTTCACCAAAGAGTTTGTTATTACAATATATATATAGCTACTTACTGATTTTTATCTATATTCAACATGCATCAAATGTAATAGGTTATAATATACAATTGCTGTTAGCATGTTATTCGTGATATTTTGAAGTTTATATATTTCTGTTTATTAATCAAGAGCACAAATTATATAATGTATCTCATAAATTTATGTAAAATATTCATAATGTTTGGTTTTATTTTATGTTTATTGCTGTTTTAAGCATGGTGTTTCCATTATTTATGATAGCCTTTTGTGTACAGTTCTAATTCAGAAACAAGACACTGAATTGTTACTGTATGTTATTATCTTATTATGACGAGTCGTGCCTCTTGGATGTTGTTCCTTACAATTGGTTTTTGCAACTTGTAGCAGCAGCAATAAAGCTTCTGCCTTACCAGATGTTGGAGTATTATTGTACCTGACATATTTAAAGTATTTTAATGACAAATAAACCACAATGTGAGGACTGCTGAATCTCCTAAAAAAGATGTGAAAGTGTTTCACTAAGAATTCTGTGAAACAATATCCCCTGAATATATCCAGCATATGATATTGTCATTCAGGCTTAATGTTCTGCTAAGAGAAAAACAAATTGACTGAACCTTTAATAGCAAGTTTTATTTATTCAAAAAGAAAACCCACAGAAATTTTTCTTACAAGTGCATGGTTTTCAAACTTAAAGAGCTTCCATAGGTGTAACTATTCAGGTCACAAAACTAAGTTATCATTCACCTCTAGAATCCAGCAAAATACAGACCATAGAAGATTTGCTGCTAGTACTATCAACTTTGCCTAAACTATCCTTAAAGCAAAAACAGTTGTACTTTCAATAGTGGCCACATTCTCTCCTTAAATTTACAAACATTCAGGTATATGACACACACTGATATTTTATTTTATCTAATAATTTTACCTAATTAAAACAACTTTAGATCATAATCTGGTTACAAATCATAATACAAACTACAGACTATGGTACTACAGAAAAATATCTGTTTATGGTACACAATAAAATTCTGCAGCTTTATTTAGAAAATAATGTTTGACAATAATCAATTATCAAATATAGTGAATGAGATAATTACTAACCACCATGATAATTCTTATTGCTTTTGCATGTAAGTGTTGAACAAGAAATTTTTATAAACCTGTTCGAAGAGCAAGAAGTACTGACCAAGTTTCAAAGAGACTAAGTTTTATCCGGTCTTTCTTTAAAAGAGAGAAACAAAAACATTAACATAGGTTAGAACAGCATTAGGCTCAGGCCAATTTGTTGATCGAGTTAACATAAAAAACTATAATCCCTTAGTCAGCTATAGACTCAAGTTATAAATAATTCCTGAAATGTAATAAACAGCACAAGTTTATTTTAACACAGATCACAGTTATTAGGTCAAAGTCTAAATTTATGAAACTATATCAATTTTGAAACAAAAGTTTGGATAAAGGAATTGCTCTAAGCTTTAGAGTAATAACGATTATAAGTATATTCCAAGAAGTGTTTGATATGTTAAAGTAGAGCAAAAAATATATATATTAGTTTCCTAATTCTGTAGTATAGTTTTCAAGTATTAAATACATGTTATTCATGATGTTAGGAAAACAAGTAGGTTCAAGGAATCAATTTAACTCAAAAAATACGATACCCTATTTTTGAATTAAATGGACTTGTTATTCACACATCTCAAAATTTTGAGTAAAGTATGGTGTGTTCTCATGTTTATTGTACAAGATAAAATTATGCATTCTTGCATGATACGAAAGTCCGTTCACCAACTCAACACTCTTCATCAAATCATTACAAAATCTTAAACATGCAACAGCTCTTAACGCAAGAAACACGCAACACTCAAACAACTGCTAACAGGTACATCTTGAAGGTAACTGCAAGAAGGTGTCTGAAAATAAAGAAGCATCAGGTTTCCTTTTCTAACTTTGTAATTATAGTAAGAAAATCAATGGTGGATCAAGCAGAACAGGAGTTCAGAAAATTGTGAGAATACCACAAAGAAAACTCAGTGAACTGTAAAACCAAACTGGTTTATTTCACTAAGACAGTAAATCCCCATGATTTGTACAGGTACAGTGCAACTAAATAATGATTCTTTCAGTTTAAGTAATATGGCATGGCTTGATACTGAAGTAACGTTACAATATTAAAATGAAAGTTTATAAGGATGATATAAATGGAAGCTGTGCCCGTAAGCATGGGTTAATACAATCTCAGAATAAAGCTAAACAATAAATTCATATCAATAATCACTCTGCTAGAAACAGTATTTTTCATATATATATATACACATACACACACATAATAAAGAGAATAGTTTCAAAACTATTATACGAATTACATTAATTGTCAATAGGTGATCAAAATCAGCACTATAAAACAACAATGAACTTAATACAAGACAAATTCCAAAACTTAAAAAAAAAATCATCGCACTTTCCAGTCATAATCCAAAGGTCATAATGGAGATTGTCTGTGGTAATAGCACCCAAAAGCATTGGGGATATCCCGTCTATCAGACAAAGTCCGAAGAGCAGATGAAAAACCAGTTAGCAGTCATGGAAAATTACTTAAGGGTGCAGAATTGAGTGCTCATACCAAAAAAAGTCTCAACTCTTACTGCCTTTCACTGTCTGCAGCCAGTTGTGGGAAGGCAGTTACTCTTAAAATGACGTATTAAAGTCAAAAGTAGAAATAAAATAAAGCCACCCAAAAAATATATCTACTAAATATTACCTACCATCCTATGTCTTTAAAAGTTCTAAACATTCCTAAAGTAGAATAATAACCACCCTAATAATTCTACTACAAGTTACTCCCAACCACCACCCTTTTCTGTAAATGACATATTTTATACTAGATCTTAAAAAGAACTATAAAACCTACCTTTTTTCTTTGTTGTAAGTTGCATGCACACACACACACACATTTTTATCCCACATACAAAAATAAAAAGTATGACTTATTTTTAAATACTGCTTAAAAATATTAATTTTATGATAATTATGAGTTATAAAAAAACTAGATTGAGCCTGTAACTAGCGAATATAATGTTCCAAGAATTTCCTGCATATTACAGTTATTTAATATGTTGACAGAAAAACTCTTTTTGTTTTGATATCTTCCAAAGTTAGGTTTATTATTTTAAAAAAAGCTCATATTAACTAATAATTTTTAATACAAAATACCTCATTATTTAGTTTGTCTTTGGCAACTAATGTTACCTTCTGATCACAGCAAGCTACTTTCTAAGAGCAAAACTAACAATCAACCTTCAAATGAGTATAGATAATCAAATATACTTTTCTTACTTATAAAGATTTAAAAGCATGGTTTCATCCATTGGATATTTTCACTGTTAACCACATTTTTGGCCATAATTTATTGATTAATATAACTAGTCAAATAGTTAAACTTATATAAATATAATCCATTCAAAAGTTCAGAAAACAAAACATGATCAGTATATTGGTAGAAGAATGAAAAGTGTATTTCAGCACCTACTATCTATCACAATTAAACTAACTACTTCCACATTGAGAATTCTTGCATACCTTTTCCTTCTTAGCACACTAAAAGTTAAAACAATCTTCTATACCGTAGCTTGACGGAGTAATTTCAGACACAAACATTAAGATTTCATCCACATAAAATAAATTAAGTACTTAAACTGAGAACAAAATGTGCTAAAGATCTCATATAAAAAAAGGGGAATTAACACAGTACCTCAGCAACTACACTATACTTTTGTATGAAATATATAAATAATGTGCAAAGCTATATGATGGGCTATCTGTGCTATGCCCATCAAGGGTATTGAAACCCAATTTTTAACATTACAAGTTCAGACTTACCACTAATCCATTGGGGGCAAAATTGATATTTGAACAATAATAGAATTCAAAACATTTTGATTTTAAAAGCCTATTTTGGTAACTTAATTTCGGTTTATGTTCAAGACAGAACTAGTGTGAACTTACAATAATACCTTCAAACCACAGCTACAAGGCGAGTCAGACGTCTTCATATTTTTCTTGTAATTATAAACATCTGTTGAGAAAGCTGGAAACAACAAAAAATGCTAACAGTTTCTTACACAAAATAATGTTAAAAAGACAAAGACCAACAATAAAAAGTTAAAAACCTAAATGCAATCAATGGATGAAAGGCTTACCAATACTTGTCACAAAATAAATTGAATAACAATGTCAAACTCGACAGCTACAGCTATTTACCTAACCCCTTCAGCAAGAAATCTGATACCCTTTGTTGACTGATTCTTTCATTGTTATCCAATAACATGAGGGACAACTTTGTAAGACTGCCACCATGTACAAGGTGTCAGATAATTGTTTTTTTACTTCCTTTTTAAAAGGCTAAATGATATGATATCATTTCTTCTCAACCATCAACATTTTTGGGTTAGAATAAAAAATTTGATGCACTGTCATTCGAATATTCAGGATAAAGGTGAAAACAATCTCTATTGTTATTTAAAGTTTTTGGTTAAGGTGAAAAAAAAATCATTCAGTTAATGAAGCTGTTTTCTTGTTTTGTGGACAACATTTTTATTGAGAGGTAAAATGAAATATCAACTAAGACTGAGACAGAAAATATTAACAATAAAGACCATATCAGGAAAGTAAGTTATTAACACAAATATCTTGGGTGTTTGCGAGAAATGAGGGAATGGTTCCATCTGACTGCAATAGCTTGGAACCAGTAATTTACATAGTAGAAAGTGAGTGGTGAAGAGTCAAAGCAGAAGTCATTACTTATGAGAAATGCTGTACAAATACTAGGTTCCAAAAACAAAATCTCATCATAATTGCTTGCAGTAACTACAAAAATATTAAGCAAAAACAATACATTTGTACTCTTTACAACATAGAATAAAATATAAACATGTGAATGTTGCACTTAGATACAAACACACACAAATGCTCCCTCTAAACGGGACTTGTAGTCAGCAAGTTTGTTTTTATGAACTGATGGTAGAATTTTCCAGACAGCCCCTCAAATTTTTTCAGATCTTTCAGGCTTGCTAGGGATCCTCTTAACTCCCTCCAGGTGATAAGAACCTTGCAAGAATAATTATGGTTAAAAATATTTCAGTAACTTCAGAAAGCAGCATATAACATACTCAGCAGACAGTGTTAGGAAATAATCTTTATCTTCATATTTTATGTTTCCAAAACAAATGATAATGCTCCCCATTCAGTATAAAATGATTTAAAACATCCAGAAACGTTTGTCTTACCTTAGCTGTCTTTGGTCCTATACATGGAAGACTCTGTAATTCTTTAACTGTCCCAGTATTCAGAAGCTCCAACACTTTGGCATTGTGTGTTTTTTGCTTATTTCCATTAGTGGATATTTTATCTTCAATCTTACATGCTTGTGATTTAAAATTACGAGCTGGATAAAAAAGAAGTTTTCACTATTATGAAAGATCTGTAACAATACTCAAAATGGAATGTTTTACATAGTTTTCAAGTAAAAACAATCAAAGAATGTTAAAGTGATTTCAAGTAAGAATGCACAGTATTATACACAGATTCCAAAGAATTACACTATAAAATATATATATATATATACACACACACACATATATATATGGTTCTACATTTACACATGAATTTCCAGAAGGTTTTAGCTAAACACTTTTCTATGGAAAGGTAAAGTTTTTGAGGAAATTCTGTGTGAAACCTCATAACAGAAGCAGCAATATATCTTTATTACAATCATAAATAACATTCAACGTTAAACTGGTACACAATTAAAAAATATTTTATTTAGACCTATCTATGGCCTTCAAAAAGTTGACGACTCTACATGTTTCGACGTTACAACTGAGGATGACGTTGTAACGTCGAAACATGTAGAGTCGTCAAATTTTGAATATTATTTATGATTTTAACTTTATACACAAGTGCCAAAACACTATAAATATCTTTATTACATTTAAAACATGATATGAAAAGATAAATATCAATTATAAGAGTAGTGGTGGAATCTTATCAGAGAAATCTTCAACAAAATCACACTAATTATTGTAATATGCATTGTATTCATGGTTAACAAAAACTATTAGCTTGTTGGACAAAAATCACAGTGATAGTTATAGATTACATTGTATTCATGGTTAACAAAACTATTATAGGTTTTGTTACTTAAAATATGAAGATGGAAAAAATCAGCTTTACAAATATTAATTCTAGAATACTTTAAATGTAAAGCTACATTAATAATCAACTGAAATTTCCATAATGAAACTTATCATGGATATTTGTATATTTCACCATTTAGCAACCCCTTATGTCTAAACCTAGGAATGAAGTTTAAATAATTGAAATATTCTCCTAAAACATTTTGCATTTATAGAAAAGCTACTAAGGCTATTTTGCCATAATCTCTAATATTGAACTACTTTTCTTCATAATAATAAAAACTGGATGCAAACAGAAATAATGGTATCAGGTCACGAATAGGCTTGATTACGGAAAACCAAAGAAACAAAATTAATTTAAGGATTTTCATCATAAATCAAAATTAAGGCATGTATGTGTTCAGTAATAATGTTAAAAATTTATTTATTTTTTCATCCTACAATCGTTTAAACATAAAATATAATTTAAATATATCTACTGAGTAATCAGATTAGAGCGACCAAATAATAAGTTACAACTGCTATGATATTCTTTGGTAGAATGTTCCTCAGCTACTATTCAATGATGTCACTTGCCCACTTTAATTAGCCATAACTTAAAATCCACTTAAAGAAAAAAAAATTGTGTTCTTACCAGCTGAAATACTTTTGCGTGTCTGCTTCTTGTTTTGTACCGGCTGAAACTCAGTATGAAAAAATGCAGGTGTAACTGAACAACGAGTAGATCGTCTTCTTTCCTGTACTCGTGTTGGCAAGCGTATAACAGTGCTGTTTAATTCTGGATATTCAGTAAACTCTAAACAATTTTCAGACTCCTGCATTAGTGAATTTCTTTGTGTTTGCCTCTTTGGAGCAGGGTTTTTAGGTTTGAGAAATGGAGATGATGATTCTTCAACCATTATGTTACTTCTATCTGTTGGTATAAAAAGGTTTTTGTTCAGAGATTCCTAAATAAAAATTAATTATAGTTATTATAACTATTTAAATGAAAAACATCAAAAAATTAATAATATCAAAGTAAGATGTAAATAAAAGAATAAGTTAAAAGACATAACAAATGTATGAAACAACTTTTGTTCCCAACGATAACATTCACTTATATTAAATGCCTGTATTTGAATCAAAGGTTTATACTTATGCACCAGAATAATATATAAGTAGCTTAACTTTAAAATTTTACAGTGGGCATGCCTAATTTAATGCATGTATTAATAAATAATATTAAATAAGTAATATTTTAAATGTATGCACCAGATGTCACTCTCATAAGCTGAACCAGCATAAGTTGTGTTATTGAATCACCTATGTTTCCACTAAAGTTATACTATACATTTAAAACTCCTTCAGTTTGATGATGTTGTAACTGTTGTATACAAAAGTGGGAGTAGAGCAAAGTAGCCAACACTAGAAATGTAAGCTGCTGAGCAAAACAAGGTGACAATTTTTTGAGGTTTATATTTTAACATCTGCAAATATACACTACAAATACAAAACAAATATGCATATACAATCTAAAGAAACAAAATCACAATAGTTATGAGAAAAAACAACTTAATTTCACAAAAAATCAAATATACATTAAAGAAATCAGCAAATACAAAAAACAGGCTACATGTAAGAGCCTTCTGATTCTGTTGCCTTCACACCAAGACTAAATATATTCATTAAGGTCATTTGGAATTAAGCGTAAATACATTTAAGACCCATAATAGAAGGCATTTCTTTACATAGAGTCATGGGTGTCTAGAATAAACTGCCCACCCATGTTGTTGAAGCTGAGACTCTACGATCCTTCAAAAAACAGCTTAACTACATTCTTGGATCAACAACAAACAAGACAGACTGAAAGGTATCCTCTCATTTGTAAACTTTCTTATATTTTTTATTTGGTAGTATTAATCCAGTCCATAATTAAGGTAACCCTGCTTGCTCAGTACTTATTTTTCCAGACTTCTCACTTGCATTTGCAGTGATTTCTGAAAAATTGACAGTTGTACTTTTTTGCATTTCTATCACTATTTTTTTAGACTTCTTGTTTTCTGAATGGTTCCTTGTTAGAAGGGTTTTGCTACTTAGCTATGTTAAGATTAAATTTTCACATCATTTGTCTTTCATATGAAGATTATGAAGGACCTTATGCCATTGTTTCCATAATTTAGACAGCAGTTACAAATAATACAAAAACAATGTCTGGGAATATCATTTTTCCATACACACTGTCCATAAGACAAAAAATGAATCTGTTTCTTTATACCATTGTCATTTATTTTTACAGAGTTATCAATAAGAGCTGAATCATTTCTTCATTTCTAAAAAACCAGCATGACAAAACATTCATCATACAGCCACTGTAATTTGGGTATTAACTATTTCAACACGAGCTCGGTCAATTTTACTGACCATGTGACCTCTTTGTACTTGTTTAAAGTCTTTATAGATTTAATACTTCTAACTTTCAATATAGTGTGTATGTCTTCACAAAATTTGGCAGTCTTTCAGTTAACATTACAAGTCTTTAACATAAACAATTAAGTTAATAAATTAAAATAAAGATTTGTCCATGAATATATTGAGTATTTGTTTTGAATAGTCCATGTGCAAAATGATTTTCATGTTATGATTAAAAATACTTTTCATCTCATATTTTATTTGTGTAATCTCTAAAACCTCCTAAACACATTTCAAATGTTTGTTTTCAGTAAAACTTTATATTCTATCCGTTATTTTCTCTACCCTAAAGCTATACAAGGTTGGTCAACCACCAAATAAAAAAATCTAAATTACCCCTTTTTGTTTTCTAGAATGACTTCAGATTCTAACATGAAACTACATTTGTTTATCCTATGTAGCTTTAAACTTGTAACAGTATACACCTATTTATAATTAAATTTTATTGGTCTTTGAACCACGTCTAACTACTGTCCACACCATAAGTTGTAAATCACTCTGGAAATGTACAGCTGGTGTGCATACCTCATGAAACATTTTTATTATATTATCACAATTATTTGTTTACCTAATCTAATCTTAACTAGCCTAAAGAGATCTCTATTTTTACATTTTAGTTACTTTTTTCATAATAAATAAATACACATGAAAAACAAGAAATAATGTACTTACTCGGGTCTTCTTTTTTCTTGCTGTCGGTTATTGATGACACTTAACCCTACTTTTTTTTTTGCTAATGGTAGTAATGCACTAAATATTTTTTTTTAATTAAATAATGCACCAAAGAACATAAAATAATAACATGCAAAAAGTAGACAATTTCCCCTAACTATCACAATTTTTCTGGCTTTCTAATTATGTGACAAGAGCCATTACAAAATCACCCAAACTAGTCATTATCTTTCCCATGGGAACGAAGCTTGTACTCTGAGTGAAGTTAACGATTATCTGTTCAGAACACAACGCTATACAATGTCTTTTGATAGATGAAAACCTTGGCTTTCTATTAGTTATAGGTAATAGATAATTAAATGTAAAATAGAACTATTAACAAATCCTGAAAGAAAGGATGCAATAGGTGGGAGTGGAAGAAGGGGTCTGATTTTCTATTTGATGGTTCTTTTACCAAGCAAAATTGAAGGCTATAAAAATTATGGTTTGTCTGAGCACTGATGATTTTATAGTGAGAAATTACATTTAATTTCATACTTTTTGGAGGGGTGGTGGATAAACAAGAGAAAAAAAAGATGCTTAGAGAAAATGTGTCAAGTGTGTCACACTAGGGGAAATTCAGGATTTTTAAAAATATTATTTTGCAGAATTAAGAACTTGAAATAAATATACTGTTAAAATATGGAATATTAGCTAAGATTTTATGCTATTCTAATTGGTATAATATAAACAAAAAGTAATTTAATACAATTTTGAATGTAAGACACTAAAACCTTGTGTCATGCTCAGTAAAAGATACCTGGAGGAGAGGGGGTTAAACAGTGCAATAAATGAGAATTAACAGAAATGGCATTCATCTAATGGTACATTATAAAATCACAAAATATGTTTTATATATTTAGTAATACAAGAAATATCCCTCTCCATTTTTCACAGCTTCTCCAAAATTTCTGAAACAGTATAACACCTATAGATGGAAAACTTCCACCCGTGGAAAAATTCTGTCAAAGTCCATCCTACAATGTTCAGATTTTGTCTAAAAGATTAGAGATTTTCAACATATATATATAATATAGATATATATCAACATTTTGACCTTGACTCATAACTTTCAAAACTCAATCATGTTGTATAAGTTGGTAAATATCATTCATTCTGTATTGAAATATGTTCAGAAGGTCGGGGAAGATTTTCTATGTACCACTGACATCTTGACCTTTACTGTCAAAAGTTAATAAGGTCTTGAACTTTGTATTAGTATCTGTTGTATAAGTTTGGTTAAAATCCATCTATTCAATCTTTAGGTATCCTGTCCACAAGATTGGAATGGATGAACAAATAGACAAACCAATATGTTCCACACTGTTTCACAATAAAGGCATAAAAATTTCTTGATATTAAATAACCAAAAATTTTGAAGTTCAGAATTGTCCAGATTTCATGAAAATTAACTTTGTCCCTTTTATCTTTTTATAATTAAAAAGTCCAAGAAGAAATTAATGAATTGCAAAGTGCTGTATCTGTTGACTACTGCTAGTTGTGGATAGACATTTGGTAGTTTCAATATAAGTAAGAATAAACTTTCCAGGATTTTGACACTATATGTAACTTCTACATTTCTTGGTGGTTCAGCAGTGAGGGTTTTTAACAATTTAGGGTTAGCTCCCCATGCTATAGTCCATTGTGCAAATAGGTTTGATTACTGAACACTTATAAAACAAAATTAATCTAATGGCTTCAATCACAAATCAAAATTAAGGTATGTATGTGTTCAGTAATAATGTTGAATATTTAAATTTTTTCTCTACAATCATTTAAACGTAAAATATAATTTAAATATATCTACTGAGTAATCAGATTAGAGTGACCATATAATAAGTTAAAACTGCTATGATATTCTCTGGTAGAATGTTCCTCTAACTACTACTCAATGATGTCATATGCCCAATTTAATTAGCCATATCTTAAAATCTACTTTAAAAAAAAAGTGTTCTTACCAGTTGAAGTACTTTTGCATGTCTGCTTCTTGTTTTGTACTGGCTGAAACTCAGTATGAAAAAATGCAGGTGTAACTGAACAACGAGTAGATCGTCTTCTTTCCTGTACTCGTGTTGGCAAGTGTATAACAGTGCTGTTTAATTCTGGATATCCAGTAAACTCTAAACAATTTTCTTTCTCCTGCATCAATGAAATATTTTCGAGCAGCACAGAATTTCTTTGTGTTCGTTTCTTTGGAGCAGTGTTTTTAGGTTTGAGGAATGACGAGGATGATTCTTCAATCATCATATTAGTTCTATCTGTCAGTAAAAAACAAGTTTTGATTTTACTCTGAGATTTGTAAGTAAAAAATACCTATAGCTATAATTACTTAACTGAAAGAGCCAACAACAAAGATATTAAAAGTAATGTGAAAATAAAGAGAGCTGTTTAAACATAACTAGAAGATATATCAAGCCAAATTTTGTTCCAAATAACAATCAAAGGTTTGTATGTATGGATCAAAATCTGAGAGTGGGCATGCATAACTTAATACTCATATTGCATTAAGGGGGAATATTTTAAGTTTGAGACATATAAAAACCAAAACATAGGTTTACTATTTGATTTTCTGACTGAAAATGGTGTTTATAATTCAATTGTAATTCTAAGAAAACGTTTTTTTAGATTTTTCATGTTTCATAAATAGAAGCGTATTATTTTTATCACTCTATGCATAGAAAAACTAATTTGAACACTGGAAAATCACTTTTATATTAAAAAACTTAGATTAGATCAACTAGATACCTACCAACTATGTACACTCATTGTTTCAGCAGAAATTTGTATTTTATAAAACCTAATTCTCACAAATTGTAAAAAAATTATCGGAAATGTGTTTGTAAAATGCAAGTTAGTTGAGGAACTGCAGACTGATATGACATGACATTTACACAACACTTCCTGTGAGAAATGTTGCCACAATGATTAGTCATCAACATAAATTTTAATAACAGCAAGAATGTACACTTGCATTTTATGAATTACTGTATGATGACAGTGGAGATTGTTTACAAGAAGGGGTTGGTCAGTTTTCCACATTCATGATTAATCACTGAAGCCCACAATTTATGAAACACATAATATTATAAAGGAAAACAAAATTAATAAAAAGTCAAAATATAATCTTACCTAGTTGTGGAAAATCAATTTTAGTTATATTCATCTGATGAATCATACAACTGTTTCTTCAGGAATGGTGTGACAATAAATAACATGTAACAAATATAGTACCACTACCTAAAGCCATCAAGAATACAGCTGTAAGCATAAAAACACCACTTGTTATAAAAGCTGAAACTGTTACTTTTGGGTGTGCTTCTATTGAAATACCTTTAAAAGGAGAAGGGAAAAATTGAGCTTCCTTGTAGATTCTGGGTTCCACATTTCCACAGGAAGGATCTAATGGTGTGAAACATCTGGTCTCTGTGCATTCAGGTGTTCTTTGTTTCTCCGTCAGTTGCTTTATTATCCGTGATTCTAGTTCCCCAAACTTTTCACATATACTTTCCTCTAGTACACTACACAACTTTCTGGCAAAGGGACTAGGACAAAAAACAAACAAATACTTACATGTTAATAACCTACTCAGGAACTGAAGATTAGAAAAAATGAAATAATGTTAAAAAGTTAGTTCTGGACTAAAAATGAATAAATAATTAAATATATAGAAGTCATTTTATTGAAATAGATAATTCTATTATGAGTTTCGTAAGTCTTGCATTAAGAAATAATAAAAGAAATGAAAAGGAAATCTTGATTTAAAGTGCAGTATGAAAAAAAAAGTATTTTTTTTGTGTGCATCATTGTTATCATCATCATTATACGAAACCTTGAAATGTGCACTCCTGTGCTGCATATTACAATCCATTCTTCCTGTCTGGTGAGGGTACACAGGATCAAATATTTGCTTCATTTTGACACATGTATAAGAAAACATGTACAGTGATGAATTCATATCTTATTCACCTATACTTTCATAAATAATGTGATAAAGTTCAGCAGTGCAGATTTAAAGATCTTAAATTGTGCCCAAGATACAAGAATGTTAAGAATCAGGAAAGAAACCTAGAATAGAAACTATATTTTTGAAACATAATGAATAAATATTGTGGTAAATAATTAAAGACCTATTATCAAGATCTCTGACGCATTATCAAATCAAAACTAAGCTCTGAATATGCAACCTGAACAGGTTATAAAAAGTATCAAGATATATTTACAAATTTAGAAGTATTAGCCAAATAACTTTCCATTTTTAGTTAGTCACATACAATTCCTAAAAGGAAAAAAAAAAACCATGTTACAGAATTGTGGCTGAGAACAGTTTATGTTTACATAACAAAGAAAAGTGTTAATTATAAATCACAAAATTAAGCTTAACCCATTAACTGCTGCAGGAGCAGCTCAGTTGCCATTTTCCGACTCACAGATAAAACAGCTTCTTTATATATGAACTCTTTGGTGGAAAAATGGTGCATCATAGCACTTTTGCCATAGACATTTTTCTTTTGCATGTCATCCTTCATGTGCCCTCCACATTTTGCAATGCTCTGACAACATTGCACAAATTATGAATAACCCTGTATAAATTATCACTCCAAAGAGAAATATTATATAATGAAGCACATTACGACTATAACTAAATTCAACATGAATTAGGTCCTAAACTTTTTCAGCACGTGCTCAGTCCCTGGGATCCAAACTCACAACCACTTTGTGCTGTTTAGTTTTCATGCTATAACTTTTAACTTAGTAAGCAAATGTTAACGAAATTTGATACATTATCAGTAAACATTACAATGCTTGCATATGCAAAATATCAATTTTTCCATTAAGCCTTAAGGTTTGTAAAATTATGTTTTCTCATGACATTTTTTTCTTTTCACATGTTGCCTATCTAACATGAAAAGTAATTTTCATTTCATTTAAAATACTTTCATGCATTAGAAAACTTTCAAATTTCACATGCGTAATCTTTATAATGTCCAGACAGTTTTCAAACCTTTCCTAAGAAAAAAACTATATTTTATCTATTATTTTCAGTAATGAATCTCTGTACGAGTTCCGTAGGTTTGACTGATCTCGTAACCACCATAAAAAATTAGTAAATAAATATAAATTATGCCTCTTCCATTTTAGAATGAACACAAATTACAACATGAAAACATAAATATTTAGACTAAATAGCTTAAATCTCATAATATTATACATATATATATTATTTTTTATTGTATTGACCTTTCAGCCATGCCTGGCTAACAATACAGAAGTTACAATGACACGGTACATGTGCACTCATGTCACCGTATCAAATAACATAAAACTGACCTTTAGTCTTTACAAAGTAACTTGTCTTGGCTTTGTTTTAGTAGACTAGTATTTTGTAAAATACAGTCACATTTCAATTATTATACATTATATGTGTATATAAATTATTGCTATTTTGAAATAAGTTCTTAATCATATTTTCTTAAAACATAGAACAGTAAATAAAGATGTAAAGCAAACAATTATCTCTTTTAGTTACGACCTTA